GACAAATAATAACAATATTTCTTCTATAGTAGAAAGGAAGCTTATTTTAGGACAATATGTGGCTGAGGGTTCTGTGGGGGAGCTGAATTGGTAACGGCAAATTCATTCGTTCGTTCGTTCGTTCATTCAGCCATCCTCTGTGAGCACGTCCGAGGCACAGGTCCTCGGCAGAGGGACTGGAATGACAGATGGTCAGTGAGAGGAGCAGTTCCACCTGGGAAAGGAGCACAGGTCTTTGCTGGCTTTGGGTTGGCCTGTCGTGTGGCTGTAAGCTGGTGCCGGCCCACTACACAGAGCTGGTTCAGATGTGCGTGTGAACCCCAGTCCCAAGCCCTCCACCTGTGCTTGCCTGGGGAAGGAACTGAGGGTGACAGGGACGGTGCAGTTCTTGTCCCTGGAGAAATTTGACTTTGTGCTGTTATTAGCGTCACCACCATCATCATTGTCAGGAATGTGCCGCCTTAATGTCCTTAACAGCCCTACAAATGGCATTTGTAGAATGTATTAGTCAGGGACTCAGAAATGTAGGAGATGTATATGTGGAAGATGGTGGGGAGAGGTTGACTGAGGACCATGAGCCTTGGCTCACCCAATTCTGGGGGCTGAGAAATCTCACAATCTGCTGTCTGCAAACTGGAGAACCAGCAAAACCAGGGGTATTGTTTTTGTGTGAGTCCAAAGGCCGAGACTGAAGAGCTAATGTGTAAGTACTGGTCAGAAACTGGAAGCCCAAGAACCAAGAGCTCCAATGTACAAAAACAGAGAAGAGGGTGAACGTGCCTCACTTCACCAGCCAAGTCTGACTCAGCGCTGATCTCTTCTGGAAACACCTTCCTTCACAGACACACCCAGAACTAATGTTTTACCAGCTATCTGGGCATCTCCTAGCCCAGTCATGTTGACAAATGAAATTAACTACCACATAAAGGGATTATGGGTTCCAAAGTTCTTTCACATTCCTTACCTCAAAGGAAGCTCACCTCCAGCCTACAGGGCGGGAAATAAGCATCTCCCACAGTCCCCTTTAGCAGATGAGGAAACTGAGCTCAAGAGGTTAAACTAAGAGCATGCCCCAAATCTGGCTGCTGTTGATGGCTTCCAGACTGCGTGGGCCTGGGACTGGGTGGTATTAAATTCTCAAGTCCCTTTTCACTCAAATCCTTTCCTTCTCCTGCCTTTTTTCTTTTAGAGCCATCAACTTAGCAATAAATGAACAAGAGTATTAAACATAGTATACATGTGTCAAAACATCACACTGTGGTCTGGGGATGTGGCTCAGTGGTAGAGTGTTTGCCTAGCATGCATGAGGCCCTGGGTTCAGTAACACACACACACACACACACACACACACACACAATCACACAATCACACTATATCCCACAAATATTTTCTATTGAGATGCTTCAATTATGATTTTTTTGGTGGGGGTACCAGGAATTGAACTTGGGGGCCCTTTGACCACTGAGCCACATCCCCAGCCCTATTTTATATTTTATTTAGAGACAGGGTCTGTCTCACTGAGTTGCTTAGCACCTGGCTTTTGCTGAAGCTGGCTTTGAATTCGTGATCCTCCTGCCTCGGCCTCCGAAGCCACTGGGATTATAGGCATGTGCTACTGCACCCAGCCTAAATTTTTTTAATTTAAAACAAAGATTGAGCATCTGGGTGCCAGGTATCACGCAAAGCACCCACATGTACTAGCTCCTGGGACCCTCCCTGTACTTGGAGAGAGAGAGAGAATTATAACCATCCCTATGGCAAAGCAAGCTTGGGAAGGCAGGCTGACACTCAGGGCCACACAGTGACTAAGCAAGCTGTGCCACAGAAACTCAGTCCCCATCAGTCTGGGGTGCCACTGCTCCACAACCGGCTTCTGAAGTGGGGACAAAGGTGGACGCTCGGTGACCCCAGACCAGTGTCCTCTGCCCTTGCCAGTGATGAGGTGAGTATTCACAGTCATTACCAGCTCGGAAACAGGGCCTCCTGATTCTATCAGTTATGTATGGCACTGGCTAAGCGCCTGCACCCTGGGAAGGAAGAGAAAGGTGTTTCCAGGGAACAGGGGTGGCACAGGGGTCTCCTACCCCTCACTTAACCCTTTCCTGCCACCTCCGTCCCGGTGGCAGGGCTTGGGTTTGGAGTTCTGCTCCTGTGTCTCTGCCAGGGCTTGTGTTGGGCAATCGGCAGCAGGACTTCCGCTCACAGTGTCCCAACACCAGGCCCCCGCCAGCTCACCCTGGTGTTTCCAGCCACTTCAGGCCTCATTAGTGTCCCGGCTCAGATTTACACAGATGTAAATCAGGTCATTAGCACCTCCTGCTTTGGCAAGGAGGTGTGGCCAGAAGGGAATTCAAGGGAGGGAGGGTGGGGGCAGGAGCAAACTTTGAGCCCAACTTAATATTTAACCTCTCTGACAATGGGATTGCCAGGCTCCCCACCCGGATCCCAGGCAGCTTCTGGGGTAAAAGAGTCAATATATACAGGGAGATAACAGATGGACTGGGTGGGAGGAGACCGTGGCTGAATTATAGATCAGATGCCCGGGAGCCGGGCTGGCCAATGGGAAGCCACTCCTGCAGGGGACAGCCTTCAAGCTGTCTGGAGTCCCCCCTCTCTGTCCCTCAGCACACTTTACCTTCCTTTGTGTGGAGGAGGAGCTCTGGAGACCTCTTGGGAGAGGGGAAATGGAAGGGAAGATAATTTCGGGTGATGGGGGCAGGGAGAGCCATTTCTGGTAAATAATTAACAACAACAACAACAAAAGTTTCCCATTAAAAAAATAAATAAATAAATAGAACTGCCCAGCAGAACTTTCAACTTCTCTAATTTGGAAAGTCAAAAGTTTAACTGGGCGCCAGGGAGCTGGTGCCAAGGCCAGTTTCCAGCCCAGTCATGCTGGCTGTGCCTGGGCTGTCACCTCGGCTCAGGCCACCTCCCCTGGAAGACATGGAGCCTGAGTGACAACAGTTTGTGGCCTCTAGCTTTCCTTTAGAGTCCTGGACAGGAAGACAGGGCTCTCAGGCCTCATGGGAGAGTTGAGAATTGCTCTGCAGGGCTTCCCCGAACCACAAGTATGTTCTCAGCCTGATGGCCTGTCGGGATGACGGAAGCATCAGTTTTGAAGTCAAACCAGGGTTTCCATGTTGGTTTGCTTATTAGCTGCTGTGTAACCTCATACAAATTACTTAACCTTTCTGAGCCAGGTTTTTTCACTATAGTTTGGAGTCAATGAAACTGCTGTTGCACCACTGTCACCAGGATAGCATATGTCAGGGTTCGGCAAACTGTGAATTGTGGACCTCTATCTGAAAAATACAGGCCTAAGTTTTATTGGAAAACAGCTACCCTCATTGAATTATTTATCATCCCTGGATGTTTTGTGCTATAAATGAGGAGCTGAGGTGCAAAGACCCTGTGGCCTGCAAAACCTAGAATCCTTGCGCATTAGACCTTTGCAGACAATTGTGCTGACCACTGGGATATGCAGCCTGGTGCTTCACAGAAGCGTGGCCCATGGAGGAGGGGCCGTTGCACACCAGCATGGTCACTCTGGGTCTTGGAAGTTGGGCTCTTGCTCCTCTTTCTATTTTCCTACTTCCATCCACAACCTAACAGCCAGCGGTGCCCTTGGCTGGGCCTTTCCCTGTGCTGCTGAGCCTGCATCAGGTGCTAATGACAGCACTTCTCACCCTTGCTAGGACCAGTGGGCTTCTGCCCTTGGGGACCACCAAGTCACTTGACTGATGACAAAGACCGGTGGCCTAACATTGCTGTGGCCCAACCCCTCTTGGGAGCCAGCATTGGCCTCTGCATGAGGGACAGGGAGGAAAGCCCTGGAATCCAGGAGCCGCCTCGGCTGCAGGGGACAGCACAGACCCCTCCCCACAAGGCAGCAAGACGGATTCGGGGCCAGGGTCCATCCCTTTACTTGTGCCCTCCAGAAGGCATCCGCAGTGACACAGCAGTGAATGTTTACGAAGCATCCTGTTGAATTTGGCAGACAGACAGAGACTCTCTCTATAAACAGGGGTTGATCGACGGCACCCCTCCTTTGCATGATTTGCCCTCTTAAGGATGCTGTGTCATTTGGCCCTCACAGCCAATCCGAGGTAACATTGTCCCTGCTTTACACTCGAGGAAACACAGATGAAATCTCTGCTGTCCAGGACAAGGGAATGGGGTTCTGCCAGAGGCCCTCCAATCCTGCAGCTAGCTGCCTACCTTTCTTCCTTTCTTTCTCTTTTTCTTTCTTTTCTTTCCAACTTGCTTCATGTGACTCACATGCACTGGCTTAAACTGCATGAATCGCCATCTTCTGAGTGACAACAGGAACTTGAGAATAGGCTGGCAAGTGCTGCCCACTGTCACCTCCCACTGGCCCTCATGGCCTGTCCGGCTTCTAGCTGGTCTTCCCCATGGCTGCACTCTGAGGATCCAGCTAGCCAACCTTCTGACATGTGCTCCACCTGGTATTTACCCAACAACTTCAAGTCTGCAAGACCCATGCACCTGACCCAAGACACAGCCAGAAATGCCAGCTCCCTCGACCCTTCCCACTGAACTGAGTACCTACCATGCATTAGGCATTAAGGACCTCGCATGCATTGGTACACTGGTTCTCAAAGTCCCTGAGACCCTTTCAGTGTGTCTGCAATGTCAAAAGTGTTAGGGACTGGGGATGTAGCTCAATGATACAGCACTTACCCGGCATGCAAAAGGTCCTGAGTTATATCCCCAGCACTGAAAATATTTTTTTCATGATTCTTCATAATATTACTAAGGCATTATTTGCTTTTTCACTTATTTCTTTGTGTGTGTGGGGGGGGGGCGGGTTGGTGGGGATTGAACCCAGGGCCTTGTGCATATGAGGCAAGCACTCTACCAACTGAGCTATATCCCCAGCCCACTTATTCTTTCTTAAGTGTACAATAGAATTTTCTAGAGGATATATGACCCATGGCGATGTCATCACTTTGATGACCCATGAATATCTTTTCTAGAATTTTCCAAGGTGAGGTCTTTGGCACACTCAAAACTTTCATGAGTGTCCAGGAATCCTGAGATGAAGTTGTTTGAGAAGTGCTGAGCTTCCTCGGTCACAACAACCCCTGGGAGGTAGATGCTATCGTCACTGGTTAACAGGTAAGGAAACTGAGGCAGTAGGAGGGGGAGTGACCACCCTAGGCCACACAGCTAGGCAGCTGCTGAGCTGCGATGGGAGGCTGGTTCTGTGTGGGGCCAAGGACAAGCTCTTTGCATCAGCTCTTGTCTGAACGGGTCACTCTGGAGTGGGGGTCCTGACTCTCGGGGTGCCCGAGGTGGGCCTGTTGTCTGCTCATCCAAATAAGGTGAGGCAAATGTTCCCTTAGGTGGCCCCTTTCCAGCTGGGCTTCTCCAGGCCCAGAGCTCAAAGTGCCAGCCTGCAATGACAGGTGACGGCAGATGAGGACAATGACCAAGGGGTCAGCGGGGATGGGGCAAGGAGGTCAAAGGAGCTGTCACATGTTTATGGCTTTTCCTCCGATTTCAGTTTTCCCTTTTTTTAATCTGGATACCGAGATTCCGATCCAATGGATTTGCTAAAAAGAAATGACTAAAAAAAAAAAAAGGGGGGGGGGAAGAAGAAGAAACAAACAAACAGAACTATTTCCACACTGAAGGTCGCCCAGCCTTGCCTTCCCCGTTCTCCAGCACTAATGGCCGCCCCCAGTGGCCTAGGCCAGGGCTCGGCTTTGTTTGGTGTGAATGAGGAGAACACCTGCTCTTCTCTTAAACAAACAGCGCCATTTAAAACAGTAAGGCGACATCTTTGGCTAAGGAGCCCTAAGAAACAGAGTCCTGGACTTCTACTGTGTGTGTGTGCTAGGTTTTGTTTTGTTTTGCATAATTGGCTATTCTGAGCACTTCAAAAGAGGCTTGGGTGGCCCAGGAAGGCCTGTATTCTTAGTTCATTTCCCTCCCATGAGGCTTTTGGGGACTAGCTCCTCCTGTTGGGCTTATTGTTCTTGTCCATGGATTTGGGCTATGAAATAAAGAGATTGGGTTCTTAAAAAGAAATAAATGTGGCCAAGATGGTGGTGCTCTGGGTAGTTAAAGTAGATTCCTACAAACACAGAGTCACTTGCCCCTGGGGTCTGTACTCTTTTTCTCAGGCAATAACTGAACCCCATCCACCAAATGAAATCAGCCTGAACCTTGGGCCCCATCTTGGACCATTGCTCCTTCTCACCAGACCACCCATTCTACCTCCAAGGTCTACGGATTCTACCTCCTTAATTTGTCTTAAGTGTCTGATATCATAGGAAGGAAATGAGTCTTGGCATGAAATCAACATGCATTAGAATCTCAGTTTTGGCTCCTCCAACTCTCAGCCTGACTTTGGGCAAACGTGCCCCATATTGCCGTGGCTCACCTTCAAGTGCACCTACAGTTCCCTGTTTCTGCTGACACATCTCCCATCAAGCACCCAGGTTTCTGCTTTGTGACCCAGACTTTCTCTGGGACTCAGGGAGCTTGCTCAGCCCTTGAGCAGGGCAACCTGAGTTCCCCAGAGAAGACATTCCCCCCAAGAGGGAAGTGACCGGTGGATAAGCAGTTCAGCTTCCTCATCCCTTTGTGGGAGAGAGATGGCACCCCGACAGGAGCCTCACAAAACGTCCAGCAGGATTAAGCAACACTAGTCCACAGGCGGAGCCTGCAAGGTCTCTCCCTTCCCTACTCCCTCCCTGTTCTTCCAGGATCACTTCCCAGATGAGCTAACTCTTCCCAAGTCCTCGTCATGGGATCTGCAAATACAGGTTGAGGATCCCTGATCCAAAATCAGAAATGCTCCAAAATGTGGACCTCTTTGAGCACCAACAGGAGCCACAAATTGAAAATTCCTATCTGCCAGCTGCCCCAATGCACTGGGTCACAGGCAAAATGCAGGTTCACTGAAAGCGTTGGATAAAATTACCTTGAGTTTACCTGAATAAGGTGTGTATAGAACATAAACTTTTGTGTTCAGACTTGGGCCCCACCTCCAAGGTATCTTAGTCCATATATGCAAATATTCCAAAAATTTTTTCTCAAGAAAAAAATATGAAATTCAGAACAGTTTTGCTATCAAACATTTAGGATAAGGGGGTACTCCATTGGTAAAGCAAATGACTTACCCTCCATGAGCTTCAAGGTTTTTCTCCCCCCTGGTAAGGAGGGGTTGGCAATAGCCCCCTCCCAGAATTTTTTTTTTTTTTGTACTGGGGATTGAACCCAGGGGTACTTTCCCACTGCACATCCCCAGCCCTTTTTATTTTTGATTTCTAGACAGAGTCTCGCTAAGTTGCTTAAGTCCTTGCTAAATTGCTGAGGCTGGCTGAGAACTTGCAATCCTCCTGCCTCAGCCTCCACAGCCACTGGGATTACAGGCACGCACCACTACAACCAAATTCCTAGAGTTGTTGATAAGTAACAATATGTCATAATCTTCACCATGGCAAAATTTGAAAATGCATTTGCTGTCTCCCTGAGACGTGCTCTCTGGAATTGAGTAGATAGTTATGAAGCCTCATTATTTCATGATCTCTCTGGGTTAATATTCAAGGCACAAAGGCTGAGGTTTGCAGAATGCGTGTTTTATGCTTGTATCAATGTTCTTACATTTATCTTTGAGCCCCTGTGAAAAACGGCTACTGAAGAAAAGAAGGGAAGTGGAGTTCTCTGGGTAAGAAGACAAATTCACACTTTACTTGTCAGAAAGATTCCTGATCCCTTCAGAGGTGGCGTGGGAGAGCGGAGAGGCCTTGAATCCTGGCCCCAGCCCTTAATAGCTAGGCAAGTCTGAACAAGGTACTTGATTTTGATGAGCCTGTTTCTTCCTTGCAACATTGTCATAGTAAGAGTCAGAAATAATATCTGTGAACTTTAGAATGAGGCAGTGATATCCTGGGCACAGAAATGAGTGATGTGGTTTCCTGCTTTCAGAGATCTCAGAATCTCATTGAGAGGAAAGATCAGGCACAGATGCAGAAGTAGGGTATGACTGGGTCTTTACCACCAATACTTACCAAGCACCTACTATGTGCTAGGCACCGGACTGGAGGTGCCCACCACAGGAGAGGCTCCCTCCATCAACACCCATCCTATGAGCCTACTTCTCTTCCTTTCTCCCTTCTTTCTTTCCACCCTCTCTTTCCTCCCTTTCTCCTTTCTCCTTCCTTTTCTCGTCCATAGTCTTCAAATCCTTCTAGTCTAAATCTCTTTTCCCCGTTCTGCGTCTGCCAGAACCAGAAACCTCCACCAACAACATTGCTTGGCCTCTGGGGAGCTGCAGGTCCGGAAGGAACTGAGTCCTGTAGATCCTTCCATCCAACAGTGTCAACTGGGACAGGCTTCTTCTACCCCCAGGGGACATGAATTTGGATGGAGGAATATCATAACCTCTGGATTGATCAAATATCTCTGCAGTATATTTAAGGCATTTAGCAAACTGGTGTGTGGAACAAGCTTATATCAGCTCAGAAGTGCCCATTATTATATTTCCAGGAACTTTTTATGGATTTTTTTTTTTCAGTTTATTTCATGAAGGAGTTACACTAGTCCAAGCAAAAGCAGACCCCAAATGTTACATTATACAAGCTGTGAGGTTTTTGCAAGTGACCGACGTCACATTGGTAGCTTGAAATCAGCCCCAATGTGGGTATTGACACAACAGAAGTTGGCAAACACTACAAATCAGGGATTGAGTTCCTCTGTTAGCCATCTACCAGCACACCCTGCCTAAATGTAGGTAACACAAGAGAGGGTTGGTAAAAACAGGCCCTGCCTTCAAGGAGCTTCATAGCACGCTAGAGGGTGACAATGTAGCCAGTGTCACTGACTTATAGCCAGGAAATAAAAGTTCACGTTCCAGCAAGGTAGCATCCTTCTGTGAGACTCTGTCTGCCAAACGGGAGTCACAGAAATACCTCCCTTTCTTTCTTTCTTTTTTTAATATTTATTTAGTTGTAGATAAACACACAGTATCTTTATTTATTTTTATGTGGTGCCAAGGATTGAACCCAGTGCCTCACACACAAGAGGCAAGCACTTTACCACTGAGCTACAGCCTCAGCCCCCTCCCTGCCTGTCAAACTAGATCAATCAGAGGACCCCCAGAAATGATGTAAATGATAGGAAACTCATTGTGATCTATACTCTGTGTCTCAATCATCAAAGAAACGTCTGGAAAGCGTGAGAATGTCCCATAAGTATACCAAGAATAAATGCAACCACACAGAGGATCTGCCCGGTGAACAGAAGAGAAGCAAGACAAGCCACATCCCAGGGTCACTCCCCTGATTAGACTGGAAGCAGTTTGACAGCGTGGCCCTGTCTACACTTCTCTGCAGCAGGACACAGGACTGTGATCCTAGTGAATGAACAGATGAGCAAGGAAGAAGGCTTGGAGGGGAGTTTGGGGTACCCCCAGCAAAGCTATACTCATGGTGGGAAGCAGAGAAAGGTTTGTCTTCTCCAATCCCTGGTATCAGGGTTTTGTTGGAATTTGAATGATGGAATGGAAAGTCCTTGCAGGTGAGGTGGAATGGCTACTGCAAGTTCATGTCAAAGGCTGGCTGGTGTGGTGGTGCACGCCTGTAATCCCAGCAGCTTGGGAGGCTGAGGCAGGAGGATCACTAGTTCAAAGCCAGCCTCAGCAAAAAAGCGAGGTGCTAAGCAATTCAGTGAGACCCTGTCTCTGAATAAAATACAAAATAGGGCTGGGGATATGGTCAAGTGGTCGAGTGTCCCTGAGTTCATCTCCTGGTGCCAAAAAAAGGAGGAGGATCGAAAGTTCAAGGCCAGCTGGGCAATTTAGCAAGACCCTCCTTCAAAATAAAAAATAGAAAGGGCTGGACGAGTAGCTCAGTCATAGAGCACACCTGGGCTCCATCCCCAGTGCCAGAAAGAAAAAAAATGCTCATCTAAAGAAGATAAGGGGCACTTGTTTTATAGACAAGGATTTCTTCTCCAGCCACCGATTGAGCATCATCATTAAGGTCCCTCCATCAACAGATTATGCCTATCATCCTCCCAGTGCCACCACCCATTCCCTCTCTGTTATCTTCTTTCCTTCCATGAAGATCCAGGGCCACAGTATTTACATATGGAACCACACACTGTGAGGTTTAATTGCAGGAAAGTATGTGTATCATTCTCCCTAATGATTTAATAGTCTGTCTTCTCAACCAAATTGCAAAACCCTGGAAGGTATGAAATACTGTCAACTGAATCTGTTTCACCTGAGCTTCCAGGTGCCCTGAGAGTGCTCAGAAAGCCATCAGAGCCACTACTGATGGAGCACTTGTAGGGGAGGAGAACCCAGTGTCATGCTGACTCCTTCAAGGAACTCTCCACAAGGCAGCCAACCTGAACACAGGTCGGCTGACTCCTATCAAAGAGGCAGTGAAGCCAGAGGTGTGAGCTGGTCCCCTTTTCAGCTAAGGAATCTAAAGAATAGAGAGGTTAACAACACACTTGCCCCAAAGCACAAAGTAAGCCGCAAAGCCAGAATTCAAACTCGTCTACCTTAAAAAAACCCATGCTCTTTCCAGACGCGGTGACACACGTCTGTTATCCCAGGGACTCGGGAGACTAGGGCAGGAAGATTGCAAGTTCGAGGCCAGCCTCAACAACTTAGCAAGGCCCTAAGCAACTCAGCAAGACCCTGTCTCTAGATGAAATATAAAAAAAGGTCTGGGGATATGGTTCAGTGATTAAATGCTCCTGGTTCAATCCCTAGTACCAAAAAAAAAAGAAAAAGAAAAACATGCTCTTCATTACCATGTTATTAAGCATAATGGAAGAAAAGTCGGGTGCTTAATAGGTGAGTCGTATTATTTCGCATTTCCCCAACTTAGCAAGTAGTGAAACTGAGGCAGATGGTGGCTAAGACAACCCACTCACATCGCAGCAGGCAGCCTGTACCTACTGGGAAAGTCTCACTAACCAACTTTACTAACTGTGAAAGGCTGTGGCGTGTAGATAGAGGGCCTCGCAGATGTGGAGCCTCTGAGGAACAGCCCTCAGGTGGGCACCAGCAGCACGCTCCCAGGATGACTTAAGGCTCCACTGGGCTCCTCTGTCCTCTGATTAGGTTGGCCCTTCCACCCACCGTGACTTCATGGGAGCCTCCATTTCGGATCTGGTTTTCCCTCTTCCTCGGAGAGCTCAGGGTGTTTTTGGTTTTCTCTCCTGCACTGCCTGACTGTGGCAGAATGTTCCAGGAACATCTAGTCAGACAGCACTCAGTGTGCTCCAAGGCCTGGGTACACGCTGTCCTCCTGGGCGGAGTAGCCACCCGGGACTATTAATATGGAGCTAGCCCCACCTCCAGGAGTGGAGGGTAGCAGGTGGGGGTGTGGTGGGCATGCCCCAGTCACCAGAGGCTCTGAGAACAGACAGGACATCAGGCCCTGTGGGTGTTATAACCCCAGAGCATGAATCAGGCCTGAAATGAAGGCCAAAGACCCCATCTCAAGGGCTCGCTTCTCCCCGGCCTGTCTATTCCATGCATCTCCTTGACTTCAGAAATAGACATCAAGGTCCAGACCAATGCTGGTGACTTGCAGTGTCTCTGTCTGACTCTCCTCCCTTCCTCCACTCCTCAAAAAGCCCCTTATCAGTGGCATTCATGGAAGACATTCTGGATCACACCTCCCAAAGGGTGGAGGTTGTGGAGAGGGTCACAACCTCAACCTCTGCTGCCATCTGAGCAGCCACTGTGTCACTCATGGAGCAAGGACCTTTTGCTCTTCTTCCTTCCCACAGTCATTCGCCCTGAAAAATCCTCTGGTCCTTAAATCAAGCTCCAGGCCAATGGGTACGCTGTACCCGTGATCCATACCGTCTGCCTATAATCTATAACCTATAACCAGGTCCAAACACCAGATGGAGAGCATGTTGGAGAAAGTGCGATTTTGTGAGCAACAGTAGAAGGAAAAATGTTAATA